GAAGGTATAGAAGATGTTTTTCTTTTGGTGTGTCTTTCTATTGTTCATCATCCTCTCATCTGCAAGAAGTTTTTCAAATAGACTAATAAGGTATTTTCAAATTACCTAATAAAATAAGTTCCCCTAGAAGTTGGCATTGTGATTGGAAAGCAATAGGGAGAAAGATTGATTTATCAATAACAGAACACTGTAAATTTTCCTCATATTAAAACTGCTATTGATTATGAGATTACTCTTAAAGAAATTGTAGCAGATAGGCATAGTGATGCAAGTATTAAAGGAAAGGATCTCAATATCCAACGGTACGTCTGCTTTGCTTTATAAAATATATCTATTTCTTCTGAAATACTACGTATAAATCTAACTAAAGTGTACCAGGGAAGATTAAGAAAAGAAATGATAAATGCTTTTGTGAGAGAAATAGGCATTTTAATAATAAAAAAATACCTTCTCAGTTTATGCATTTTGTCACTTTTGGTTCTCACACATTAGATTTCCTTGAGGTGAAAGCATATTTATGCCTAATATAATGTAAATAAATTAGTTTATTTTGGCTTAGAAAAAGCAATTTCCAATCTAATAGCCTATGTTAGATTTTGAAGTTCTACAGAGAACAGGTATTTCAGGTGAGATTTTGGCTTTAAATGTAAATAACATTGTTTTTTTAAGTGAGGTATAATTTGTTAAAATTTCATTTAAATTAAGGAAAAGGGCTTGGTCATCTCTGGAAATTAATATAAACAAGAAGATGCTCTAACAGTAACAAAATTTCTATATGTGTGGATTTCATGACATGGTACAAAGGCAAAGAATTAAGGGTTAAGCAAAGTATGTTCTGTGTAGATGCTCAACCTTTCATAAACTGTCTGCTTTTGGCAAAGGCATTTAACCTCTCAGATACTTCTTTCCTTGTTTATAAAGAAAAATGTTATTTGAATCTGCTGTACTCCAAGCTCACTGTAAGGCTAAAATGTCATGATGTGTATAAAGGAATCTTTAAACTCTTAAAAAAGTGTAAGGGAATTTTGTCCATGAGAAATAATACTATAATTGTATTAGTTAAGGTACCCAAGTCCTTAACTATTCCAATTTTAGAACGGCCTACAGTTATCATGGCCATCTATTGATTATTTTTGTCTGAACATATATCCATTTATGTAATAAAAACTATAGCCAATCATAATGATTGCCAGTATTGTCAAAGAAATGCAGAGCCAAATGGCCATAAAATAACTAAAACTAAACCATAATTTTGGATGGTTTAAATATTATAAATTGTAAAAAGATGCAAATATATGTGAAGAGCTCTTATAATTCTCAAATTTTATGTCATTAAAGAACATTTTTTTGTCAATAAAGAACAAAGATTTTTAATAACAGAGTAAACAAAAATGTCAAGCTATGTTTATGTTGGGGTAGATTTACTTGCATATGAGAAGAACCATTCTAAAAGTTGATTTACACTGACCAAGTATTAAAAGCTTAAAATTCATTTTTAAAGATTGATTTTATAATAAATTGCAATTTACAGAAAAGTTGCAAAGATGTACACGGAATCCCCTTCACCCAGCTTGTCCCACTGTTAACATGATCACGGTATGTGTTTCAAAACTAAGGACACTGGCCCAGGAATATTAACTAAACTGTAGGCTTCATTCAGATTCCACCAGTTTTCCCACTAATGCTCTTTTTCTGTTTCTAGGACATCACATTGCATGAAGTCAGAAAGCCTCTTTCATCTCTGGGCCGTCTTTCTTAGTTTTTCCTTTCATGATCTTGAAACTTCTGAAGAGTATTGGTGAGGCATTTTGTACTATGCCCCCTCAAATTGGCTTTGTATTATGTTTTTCTCAGGATTAGAGTGGGGCTATTGGTTTTGGGATAGAATTCACCAAAGTGAGGTGTCCTTTTCACATCCTACCCTGGCACATGGCATCAACATGTCGTATCTTAGGGAAATTAACCTTGATCACTCAATGAAGGTGGTACTGCCATGCGTCTCCATAAAAAAATAATCTCTTCCCCCCATTTCCAGACTCTCCAAGTCATGAAGTCTAGTCCACACTCAAGGGAAGAAGATCAAGCTTCACCTCCTTGGAGGTGGGTGAAGTATCTACATACCCTATTTGGAATTTTTCTGTAAGAAAGATTTTCCCCTTCTTTATCATGTATCTATTTGACCATGTATTTATATCAGTTTGGATTCATTGATATTCATTAGGTTACAATTTAATGTAAGCATTATTGTATTATTCTGTGTGTCAGCTTTGGCCACAGAGGACTTTTTCTGGTTGGTTCCTGTGTCCTTTTGACGTATGCCAATTATTTTATTTTTTACCAGTTTTTCACTTTCCGGCACTAGAAGATGCCTCAAGATCATCCTGTGTTTTCTGCCCTATGGCTCGAATCATTTTTTTCCTGAAGGCTCTGGTTCCTTTATTTTTTATTGGAGAATGGTATTTAGAAACTAACATCTGGGCATAAAGTATCCTCATTGCTACTCTGGTGTTAGTATTTCTAGGATCTTTCAGTTAGTAGAGCTAATAGAGATGTAGGTATATCTACTGTGTATGCACACATATTCATGTTTATTTTTGTAGCTATCTGTATGTATATTAAAATAAAAATGACTTCATATTGATATCTCTGTCTCTAATCTAGCACTACAAGGTTAATTTTAGCTTTTTTCCTTTGCTCATTGGTAACTTTTTCTTTGACAATGAGAAACCTAGCTCCCATTATCAACAATTTATTTACTCTTGTGTTCCACCCTAGTGTACATACAATGCAGTTCATGATTACTAACCTGGGCTCCCGTGGGAAAAATACAAATGGTGTACATGTGTACCTACATGAATTTTTCTCTTTATCATTATCCTTTCTAGTCTTAGTCCTCTCAAATCACTGTTTTTCCAAGTTACCCAGATTAGATCATTTTCACAAGGCTTTCAGTGAGGGTATGTCTTACATTTAATTATGTTAGATTCATTTTCACAGTCGGTACTTCCTCTTAGGATATTCCAATGTCCTATTTTCTTATTTTTAATCTGCATACTCCGTAGCTCACTCTCTGTATTGCACAGTTCAGTGGGCTTTGATGAGTGCATGGTCATTTGTCCAGAAGCACAGTGCTGTACAGAACAGTTCCATCATCCCTCGAATTCCCCCGTGCTAATTAATTCTCATGTATCTCTAAACCCAGCAACCACTAATCTGTTTCTTGTCCCTGTGTTTGCCTTTTCTAGCATTTTAGACATATGGAATCATACAATATTTAGGCATTTGGGTCTTCCTTCTTCCAGTTAGCAAAGTACATTTAAGATCCATCCATAATATTGCATGAATCAATAATTTTTTTTATAATTTAGTAGTATCCCATTGTACAGATAAACTATATTTTATTCATCCATTCACCAATTGAAGAGAACATTGGTTATTTTGATACATTAGCGATTATAAAGTTGTTATATAAAAAGTTGTTATAAATATTCACATATAGGATTTGTGTTAAAAATAAGTTTTAAATTCATTTGGGTAAATATCTAGAAGTGGGATTGCTGGATCATATGGTAAGTGTATGTTCAACTTTATAAGAAACTGGCACACAGTTTTCCAAAGTGGCAGTACGATTTGAATTCCCATCACCATGAATGAGAACCCTGTAGTTCTGAATGCTCGGTAGCATCTGGTATTGACAGATTTTTTAAAAATTATCCATTTTAATAGATGTCTAGTGGTATCTCATTGTGATTTTAATTTGCATCTCCATAATGACTAATGATGTTGGCCATCAGCACATCTTCCTTAATGAAGTACAGATTTTTTACCCATTTTAAATCTGGGCTGTTGTTTTCTTTTTGTTAAGTTTTAAGAGTTCTTTATATATTCTGGATATAAATCCTTTATCAAATATGTCATTTACAAGTCTGAAATTTGTATGTCCACTCTTTACAAATAGTCTTTGGCAGAGCCATTTTAAATAAGTTCATTTATTTTTTGCTTTTGTATAATCAGGTTCACCTCATTCTCCTGCTTCTTGGAGAAGGACCAGGCTGAGTCCCAAGTCCCCTGTGATAGATGTTACATCCTCAGACAGGGGCTCCCACAAGGAAGGGCTGGGAGATGGAGAGTGAGGCTTGAGATGGGTATTGTAGGACGGGCAGGGCCAGGTGTTCATAAGAGCAGCATCTCCTGATGCCCTAAACATGCCATACATTTTGGGAATGCTTCTGATTGATGAAGGGCTGCAGTTCTTGGCTTACTTTCTTCTGAGGAAAAAGGGGCCGGGCTGCCTCCCTTACCTCCCCTTGCCATGTGTTCGTTCTTTATGCTTAGGACTTCTGAACTCAGAAACCAAGCATAGTATTCCAGCCTTTCACTTCTCTCCTTACTTTTCCACAATATGAAATTAATAGTAAAAGCTTCTTTAGCAACAAGGACCACTTTCATTCTCCTTTTTATTTAGCTTATAAAGAAACTGTGTACCTCCCACCCTCCCCACACACATGAATGATTTGATGGTAAAGGTATTATCCAGTCAAAACTAAAACCATTTTTTGAAAAGATAACTAATACAGGAAGAAATCAAGCTGATGTTGAAATGATAAGATACATTATATTTTTAAAGTGCCATTTCAAGAAATTTTAATGCTCTAGTATAACATTCTGCATGTCCAGTATTTAAATTATTTTCTAGTAAACTAAAGAATGGCATAGAAATCTTAAGGATATTAATTATAGTATTTATAAAAAATGTAACTAAACTTCACAGGTTTATTATTCTACCACGATAGACAATTATGTTAAGCTTTAACTTCGATACAACCTTAAATCTAAATCTACAGAACATTTCTTCATACCGGATAAACTTCCAAAAGTATCCTATACTTCGGATAGTTTTTAGCTTATAATTTTCCGAATCACTCTGAGTTATCTATAAGTCCTAATTAACATATTTCTCCCACAATGAAGCTAACATGGCAAAGTAAATATATACTTACAATATGGAGAACATACCATGGGAAGCACATAGACAGGTGTTAAGCTACTCCGCTGTATTATAAAATTCTTGAATTACATTCTAAACCTGTTGGGAAATAGAAAGAAAAAGTATCTTAGTAAAATGTGTGCTGGGTGTACTATATATGCTGCTAAATAACCAGAAAAAAAAAAAAAGGAAAACCCTAAAAGAAATCACGCATCTTACAAACGCAAATCTTTGTTGTGTCCTTTGTTTGTAACAATTTACGACTTCTTTTAATGTTTAGGAAAATGGTACTGAATTACTAAAGTCAATTGAATATACAATAGAATAAATACTTTTTCAATAAATTCTTTTGTTGAAATCCAAATGCTTAAGATGATGGTATTGGGAAGTAATTAGGCCATGAGGGTAGATTTCTCATGAATAGGATTAGTGCCTTTATAAACAAGACCCAGGGGTACCCTTGCTCTGCCAAGTGAGGACACACTTAAAAGACGGCCATCTATGAAGCCGGAAACCCGCACCAAACTCCCAAACTGCCGCTGCACAATCCTGGACTCCAGAACGGTGCGAAAACAAATAAGCCACCCCGTCTCCGGTACTTTGTGATAACAGCCCAAATAGACGAAGATACTTGTCCACATACATTATTGGATACGCCTGGAGGCAAGTGCTTCCAAACCTTATTAAATTTTTAATTCTGTAATGAAAGAGATTATATTTAATACACAGTGAAAAACTGATTCACTGACATGCATTACCCCAATCAATAGCAAATATCTTCAAACTACGGAATAACTTAAAATAAAATAAAGTGCAGGTTTAGTTTTCTCTTTAGGATAGTGCTTCCTAAAACTGTGGTATGTGAATTATTCTCTATCAGAAATGTTATTTTGGTGTAGAACATACCTAATAAGTCTCCCAGAGGTTACTGAAGGTATTGGTCTGGTGTCCTACACTCAGTGCACACACAGACACACAGAAACACACACACACCTAATATTGCTTGTTCCCATCATCTCCCAAACACCTAACTTTTTTTCTTCCTGAAATCAGCATATTTTAAAGCAATATTCAGTCAGATTTCTTTCTGGATTTACACATGGCCTTGGCTTATACTTGGAAAAGAATTTAATTTTTCTACAATTTAGTGCTTTTCCCCCTTATTTATGTTTCATTATTAGATTCAAATACATTTAAAGATAAATCAAAATATGGAGAATAGATTTGGCATTTTTGTCTTGTCTTTAAAATTAAATCTTAACCTAAGTATTCTTTTATCAAAAGTGTACGACATAGTAGATGAATAACTTGTCTATATTTAGTAACATCTGTTGAATACATTTTAGGAGTGTGTGATCATTTCTCTAGCTCCGAGGTGGTCTTAGGGTAATTAATCCCATGAATGCTCAACCCTAACTTGTGATGTGACAGGCCTAGGGAGACAGGCCTTCCAGTAGCCCAGGAGCTTCTGATGGACAGGTGGAGTGTTGGGCTGAGCAGCAGTGGCTGCTCCCAAGAAGCAAGTGCATTTCTTATTTGTTCAGATGGTGTTTTGATTTCTGATTCTACTTGTTGAAACCTTCCCTAGAAGAAGGATCTGCAAATGGGTGATATGAAGTAAGGTCAAGATAAAGTTTGTAGGATACTTAAATCCATCCTCAGACACACTCATCTAGAGAGAGATGCCCAACCAGGACCAAAGATGGGAGATGGACCAGGGACAGATGGTTGGTCACATTCTTTCTTTTTTTCCCCTCCCTCCTTCTCTCTCTCTTTTGTTTTTCTTGTCTATGACTATAGCAGCAAAAAACTGGACTTCCCTTTGTAAGCACGCATTTTAAGTGTCCAATGAGATTGAGCAAGGAATGAGAGAGGAGGGCGGGTTTTTGATAAGCTGTTGCCATCTTCTGGATGACTTCCCCTCATCCCATTTTTTCGACAAAATTGAAGAAGGCATTGACAAAACAGAGAGAAGAGAGAAAGGGAGGTGGAGGGGAAGGGAAGGAAGGAAATGAAGCTGTAGCAAAGTCTCTTGGAAAATCAATAATAAAAATAGCAAATTTATTAGAGGGAGGAAAAAAGGAGGATGGTAAGAAAACCCCGTGACTATTTCTCTTGGGTCCCAAGCATTCTGCCCGCTGTCGTTGACCAGGATCCCAGAACTCTAGGGGCACCGCGGGGTGGTTCAGGCTTGCTTTCTTCTTCTGTCCCTTGGATAATTTTCTGTGAAAGTTCATGTTCTCTGAACAGGTTCTCCCACCATATTGCAAAGCCTAGAGATCATCAGTATTGAAAAGATTAGGATCCTTTGGTCTCATCCTGGGTTCTAAATAACTAATAAACATAAGATCATCTGGATGGCTTATTAAAAATGAACTACCTTTCCAAAGAAGCTGATAAATAAGAGTGGAGTAGGATGCAGAATTTCCACATATACCAAGCCCTCTACCTCCCAGTGCAATTGGCTGCAGATGTTTTTGGACCATGCTGTGAAAAATGAGAGCTAGGTCAGGTCCGGAGTGTTCCAAACACTTGAACAAAAGGGGCTATAGAAAGGTATATGATTATTTATATAACCATTAAATTTTTTCTTGAGTGTAAATTGCCTATAAATAATTTTATTTATAAAACTTAAACTGCAGCTTTTTAATGCAGATCAAAGTCTTTTGGGAAATCAGTAACGAAAATAGCAAAATTTAGCATATTTTTCTTTTGTAATCAACAAAGAAGAAACAGTAATCATAACAAAAAAATGTAAATATTTTATAACAAGGCAATTTAATTTAGAGTAAGGTATTTCCTCTTATCTAAAGTTGTGCTTAAACTGATAAAAGATTTTTTAAAAATCAGAATTTTTTACTAATTCTGATTCTCAAACAAATAATGCTCTGGGGAAAAAAGAATCCATTCTAGTTTTAGCTGCAAGTGCTGTATTAAATATAATAGTTTGAGCTGTGTATTGATAGCATATGATTTATGAATAAACCAAGTTATTAAAAAAGTGAACTACATCATACTGTTCAGAATGTAGGGCAATTTTAACACAATGCTGTAGTCTGACTCATTGCATACATTTTGTTTTAAAATGCATTCATCTCCTTTTCAATCATTTTAAAACTTGAATTTCAGGATTTTAATGCCTTAAATAAACGTACCACATTTTTCTGTTCTTACCCCATCCAGGAGTGAGTCTCTCACAGCTATTCACAGTATTATTTCTACTAAACAAGCACAGAAGAATCCAGATTATCTGATTTAAACTTTGCAAAGATTCTTACTTTGTTCCTTTCATTCACACTTAGGAAGTATTTTGGAAGAAAAGAAAATCCATACCTACCAAAATCATTTACATTTGAGTGGTTTTCTGTTGCCAAAATTTTTACATGAATGCCTTTCATATTTTTCATATATGTCCTTCATATATGGACCATACATGGGAAAGGTGCAGATCTAAATCCATGTTAACATGGGAAAATCAAAATGAAATATAAAACCATTATCATATAATTTGATCCAAAGGAAATATATTTCAATATTTACCATAAAAGTTAAAACATTACTAAAGGAAAAGGAAATAAGATACACAATCCAATTTTCTGCACAGTATTTCCTCTTAATATTGCAGCTGATCCACTCTGGTGAGTGGGTAGAAAAGTAGATCCTCACTCAGCCTTGGGTTTGCTGAAGGTGAGGAGCTGAAAGCTATGAAAGGAAAACAGGCACTAGGAATGCTCTGATTCTTATTAATCTATTCACTATTGATACATTTGGGTTACAAAGTCTTTCTTTAAAAATGCAAACAAACCCTAAAGTTATTCTGACTTTGACATGAATTTATGTAAGCAGAGAGATGCATAGTCCTTCTAAACACCTAGCTGAGATTAGCTTCCCTTATTGTGGATTGAATTGTGTCCCCCAAGAAATCTGTTGAAGTCTTAACCCCCAGGAATTATGAATGGGACCTTATTTAGAAAGGCACCTTATTTGCAGGTTTAGTAAAGTTAAAATGAGGGCACACTGGATTAGAATGGGCCCTAAATCCAATTGCTGCTGGACAGCTGCATCTGAGGAGGTCTCTCCCTGTGCATTAGGTGAAAAAGCATTAGGTGAAACCTCAACCTTGACTGGGGAGGGTTCTTGACTCAGGATGAGAAAGAATTCTTGAACAGGTTGGACGAGTGTAGATAAGGAAGGAATTCATTAAAGCAAGTGTAGCTGGGAATGGCAGTTGCTTTGCAAACAGCAGAGAGCAAGGAAGAACAGAGGGTGGACAGGGAAGGTTACTGAACTACTGCTCGGCATAGAGGAGATCCCTTGCCAACTTCTGAAACCAGAGTCACCTCATATCCAGTGTCTGTTTGAAGCTGCATAGCATGGGAACTAAGCCCCTACCACCCCAGGATTTTGGGGGAGCCACAGAGCACTGGATGGAGTGAGACTATGTTTGAGAACTTCCCAAAGGCAAAGAAAGGAGATTGTACAGCTACAGTCCTGTCCAGGTCATCCAGACAACGGTAACTTGCAAGCGCAAATCAGAGATCTCAGTAGCCCCTCCCTAGTTATCTGGAGTAGAACAGAGACAGAGTGAAGACTTGTGTTTAAGTCTAGAAAATGAAATAATGTAATAACAAAGACACTTATCACTGGAAGAGCAGAGAGACAAAACAGTAAGTTGAGCAGAGAGAAGTCTTTACTTAAGGCAAAAAAAAAGTACACACTCAAAGAAAGGGTAGTGCAGGACACCTCAGAGAGGAGGTGCACTTAGAGGCTTAGGATTCTGTGTTTTAAGGCTTTCAGGCATGGGGAAAAGGGTGGAGGGAAGGGACATAGGCTTGACATGTGGTCTCATGATGTCTGTCTCTGGTGAGAGACATTATGTCACCATCCACAGTCAGTCCTCTAGATAATTCTGTAAGATAAAGTTAACACAAGGAATTTATTGATCTCGTTCTCTGAGATAGTGGTCACCCTCAAGCACTAGGAGCCTATCAGCTGGGACTGCCTGCCCTGCCTTATGACAGTGTCAGTTGTTGGCTGGTTACCAAAGAATATGTTGGGTATCTTACCTCCTAATTCCCTGTTTTTTTTAAATGGAATCTT